GAAGGCTTGAGAAGAAAACAGCCGAATGAGTAAAACCTCGAGCGTCATGGCACCAATACTCCCTAACCACTCTTGCAACGAGTGGACAGCTGTCACGAACCAAACATTAATAATGTGGTGAAAGAAGCAAACAAGTCGAACAAAGACAGGGTGGACTCACTACTGGCGCTATTCTCAGCAGATTGAAGCACGACGCAATCTCAACGCTGATCGACAGGACAGGGATTCTGCCACCATCTTACCTGTAGCCAGCTTCAGGACGCTTCCAAGGCAGAAAGCCCCGAATAAGTGGACTTGAAAGGGGTAGCCTTTGGTTCGCTCCTGTGTATAATATTAATGACCCAGTGTTATCTCCAATAATTCCTCCTGAGCGTTATCAGGTGTAACGTTAGTCACAGGTTGGAAGTTGAACAAGGTTGAAGCTTCCAGTAGCATCATTTAGTAGCGACCGTGAGACGGTACAAAGTACGGCAAGGCAATAAAGTCTGCTGGTACGTTGTCCGTCTCGGAAGACTTCCACGAGAGGGCGTGGAGAGTGGCTGGACGATTGGTAGCGCCACACATAGGGAGCGTCACGACGTTGCGCTGAACGATCCTTGATGTGGCTGTTGTCCCTTACCTATTTGCGCTCGTGGTAGCTTGAATCAGCGATGCGAGATCAGTTGGACTTCAGTCCTGCAAGTCTAACCTCCTTCTATCACTGTTCGAATTGACTGCAGCCACCAGAGACTCTTGGCGGTCCTGAAAGGGTGCGCGCTTCGATTGTTCGGCGAACTACGATCGGTGGCCCGGTCGCGTGTCCAGGGAGAAATAAGTCAAAAGTCTTAGCCTCTCCCAAAAGGTTAGAACAGTATTTTCTTCTGTAACTTACACACCTTTCTGGAGCCATATCAGTAGCGACTAGCCTGTGAGTATTCGACTTGTAGGCCGATCCTATCAATGGGATGAATAACAAGAGGAATGAGATCAATCGCACAGCTTCGAACAAACTTCGTCAGTGCAGTTCGGGCACCCACCACCCGACAGCGCTTCGAGGCTGGTCTACTGGAAAAGGTAGACCCCGTGAAACCCTTTGGATCGGCAAAGGCAGCTGAATCGACCAAGGCCAGGCCCCGAACACACATCTTTCGGCGTCCATGGACTCTGAGATTCGCTATAGACGGTCCTCTCACCTTATAATTCGTGACCTAGCATGATGCCAAGGCGTAAGTCTATTCGTATGGTGCCGACTGTCCGGAGAAATTCTATCACCAGGTCTGGAACGTGAATCGGCCTCCAGAAAACGTTTGATCCACAAGAGTCCAGTCAAGCATTCTGGCCGAGTTAAGCATTCTGGGCCGTGTCTTTGATCGACATGATAAATTTCTGTGGCAACTCTTTGAGTTCCGAGGCTCGACATGCTTGCCATGCATCAGGATTCATGAGGGCTTCAGTTGACAGTGTCGGCTCGCGTAATCACAAAGCATGGCTGATGAAGGTAGTAGGAATTTCCAATGCTCGATGTTGGAGAAGGGTCACAACCGAATCGAGTAGCCGCGAACTTGGGCTCGATCCATCCAATGGTGCATATTGTCCTCAAATTCCAACAAACATCAAGGTGTCGACGCAACCTCGTACATGTTTCTGCCATCTCCGAGGGCAATTCTAAATACTCATTCGTTCTCATGACAGACGAACCGCAAGTCTCTCAGACGGACTCTTGACCAAGAACTGCCTGTCAAAGTACCAAGACCATCGGGCGTTGAACAAGCGAAATTCGACTGCCGGGCCGTGTGCGGGTGCAGAAGGGGGGAAGGGAGGAGGAGGATGGCCGTGGGGAGGACGGCTCTTTCTCCGGCGTCGGCGCGTGCGGTTGGTGATCGTGGCCAGCGTCGTTTGGCCTTGACAGCAACACAGAGCTGTTCTTGAGGATGTTGTCTCCACATTGACAAGACAAAGGAATGTTGTTGCAAGGTGACAAGCGCTTCAAGATCAGTCAAGCATCCTGCTTATCCCGAAAATGGTCGTTGCTATTGGCCTGTTGGGGAGAGATACGAAGCTTGGCACATGTCTTGGCGAGGCTCCACTGATAAGAGCAAGGCACCAAGGCCCGCAAGGCTCGCTAATCTTACAACCTCAGCTACAAAGTTGGGTGCCGGGCAATCAACCACGAGGCGTATTCAGGGGGCCCTGCGAACCTATTTGATTCAGTTATTTGCATCGCCTTTGCTCTCAGCCAATCTCCGCCCTCGACGCTTCTCTATCAACGGGGCCAAGCCTCAGGATCACCATCCTCAACTCGGCTCCCTTGGCCCGTTTGAGGCAAGGGCCGCAAGCCTTCCGTGTCAATGGGATCCAGAATTAAAAAAAAAGAACACTCGTGCTTCTCGCTTCGCAGTCAGACACAGTACGGGTACAGGACTGGTGGGTGTCTTGACAACTTCAAGAGCAATGGATACTTTTGGACTGTGGGATTTAGCGTGGAGGTGATCTGGCAACGGAATAAAGTGCCACGCGCATTCTCGCCATGGTGGACTCTGGTCCCGATATCCGTTAACCGCCCCAGGTATATAGGAGGAGGTCTGCCCTGCTGCGTCTCCACAAGTCTTCTCTCCATCAAGCATTTCTTGTCCCGCAGGCTGTTCCTCCTGAGAGTCGACCTCCAGCATTGTCTGAGTCTACCACCATGGCCACAGTCGCAGTCCCGGTCGCCGTAGGTTTCTCCCTTCCCTCGATCATCCTTCCGGTTTCCCAATGCTGACATCAATCCCCAGCCGGAGTTCAACTCCAGCATGGCCAATGGAGGCGATCCACAGCAGATAGACGTCAATCTGCCTTACACCGGCCTCGAGTACCATTACGTCTACCAGGTGATTATGGGATGTCTCGTCTTCGTCATTGTCCCCGGTCTCGGCTTGCTCTACGGCGGCATGACGCGCAGGAAGTCTGCCCTGGCCATGGTGTTCCAATCCTTGACCGTGATGGCGGTGTGCTCCTTTCAATGGGCCTTCTGGGGCTTTTCGCTCGCCTTCTCCCGAACCGGCGGTCCCTTCATTGGTGACCTCAAGAACTTTGGAATGATCGATGTAAGATCTTCGCCAGAAAGCAATCGCAAGACTCTCTTGTCAGGGCGCTAAATTCTATTCCAGGTCATGGCTGCACCTTCCTGGGGTTCGGCTGTCATTCCCGACATTGTCTTCTCTTTCTATGAGTTGATGTTCTGTGCCTGCGCGACTATGATCGTCGTGGGCGGCTCGTTCGAGCGTGGCCGCATCCTTCCATCCATCATCTTCGGCTTTTGCTGGGCCACCCTGTGCTATTGCCCAATCTCCTACTGGACCTGGAATGCCAACGGTTGGCTCTTCACCTTTGGTGCTCTTGACTTTGCCGGTGGCGGTCCTGTCCACATCTCAAGTGGTACCGCCGGGTTGGCCTACGCCCTTGTTCTAGGCAAGAGAAGCCGATATGGCGAGAAGCACGTCTACAAACCCCACAACGTCACCATTGTTTTCCTTGGAACAGTCCTTATCTGGTTCGGTTGGTTTGGCTTCAACGGCGGTTCTGCTCTGAACGCCAGCATCCGTGCCATGATGGCCATCTGGAACACAAACTTGGCGGCATCGTGTGGTGTGGCTGGTTGGGTCCTTATGGACTACATCAAGCACCGCAAGTTCTCTGTCGTTGGCGCTTGCGAGGGTGCCATTGCTGGTCTTGTTGGTATCACCCCTGCGGCTGGTTATGTGTCTGTCTGGTGTGGCGCTGCGATCGGCTTCATCACTGCCATTGTGGTTAATCTGTTCGAGCCCGTCAATGACTGGCTTCACATTGATGATGGCTTGGAAGTCTTGTGAGTACCATCCTACCCATGACGGCGATAGAATTGGTGCTGATGAATCATTTACAGCAAATTGCATGGAATTGGCGGCACGGTCGGAGCATTCCTCACCGGAATCTTCGCATCTGCATCCGTGTCGTCTCTTGATGGCGCTACCATCGCTCAAGGAGCCATCGATGGCCACGGCGTTCAGGTGGCCAAGCAACTCGCTGAAATTGCTGCCATTGCCGCTTGGTCATTTACCCTGTCCTACATCATGCTCACTATCCTCAAATACATCCCGGGACTGCATCTGAGAGTAACGGATGAAGTGGAAATCATCGGTCTGGATCTGGATCAATTCTCTGACGAGCTTATTGGCGAGTGGTCATTGTTCCAGGACGAAGCTTCAGTCCGTCGGAGCTCGATTACTCAGATCAACGCTCAGATCACTCAGGGCGTCGCGCCGGGCGACTCATCTTCCCCTCAGTCTGAGAGCGTTTCTGGTGAGAAGGAGCCGACCAAGTCTACCACCGAAGCGCCGCAGTGATTGTGTGGTATCCCTGCTACCCCTGATTGTCTTAGTTGGTTGTTCCATAATTAGATGTATCGTCTTTTATATACCCAGATATGTAGGAGCTTCCCATAGTTTGAGCGAGGAGTGGAATCAAAATTGTCGCTGTTCTGCAAATCTGTCCGTCGCGTTGACCCGCATAATGCTGTCAAATCTCTGGCGCTATGATGAAGGGCAATAGCATAGTATATTGACCGACTTGGTTAGTGCCTTGCCGAGTGATCAAACGAGGCTGAACTGGTGGGGGTTGATGCGGGGGTGACGGGCGACGGGTGAAGGTGGCTGTGACTCGTTGCTCGATGTCATTTCTCCGATGGGTACCAGCGTTGTGTGCCTGCGCCATTCGTGCCCCAGAAATCTGTACCTTGTCCATGATAAATTGCCATACGCTACCTGCTACAAACACATAGGAGTCTCGGAAGGAGAATAAGTCTTGCTTTTGAACATTTCCTAATCCTTCTAGCCCCTCCTTTTCATCATCGTCTCCTCTCACGGATAGAGATTCCCCATCGACGTACCCGTCCGCAGGCAGACTTCAGCTGCTGCTCGTCCGGTTCAGCCTTGGTCGGCGCAGGCTCTGCAAAAGACAACACAGGTTTTCCTCATTCACCCACCCCGTTTCTGTGTCCTGCAATGTTCGCGGCGAAGCGACTAGGAAAGGTGAGTGGCTCTGCCCTCCCAGGTTCACATTCTTCCCTCCATCCCTTTCCAACTAACATTCATCGCAGGAACTGGTCAAGGTAATGATCACATGCCAACGACAACCCCCCCAAAACTACACTGCAAGGCCTTGTTTCCTTACACCCGTCCTTTTTACGAGCCGTCCTTGTCATTGCCTGCTAGTGGTCTCTCGATCTACCAGACACCACGAGTGCTGACATCCGTGCTATCGTTACCCTCTTGCAGGCAAAACAAAAACTCCCTCCAGGGATCGAGCTGGTCAAAGCGGACGACTTCCGAGAATGGCTGGTTGACATCCAAGTCCTGGACGCGAATCCTTTGTACATGAACCAGACTTTCCGTCTCAGTTTTCTTTTCTCAGATTCCTATCCTATAGGTAATGTGCCACACCAAACCCCCTGGGAGAAGAGGGAAAGAGGAGGGGCACAAAGGGGAAGAACGGGTAGAGGCTGGGCTAGATTGACCTTTTTGACTGACATTGGGTACAACGATGGCTATTTCATACAGAAGCACCAGAGGTCGTCTTTCTCAAAGTACCACCCGCCGCAACCGACCCCGCGAACCCGCAACAACAGTCCCAGTCCCAGACACCCTTTGCCGGCCGCCCCATCCCGATCCATCCTCACATCTACTCCAACGGCATCATCTGCCTCGACCTGTTGGGCTCGGCGGGGTGGTCGCCCGTGCAGTCGGTGGAGTCGGTGTGCATGAGCCTGCAGAGCATGTTGACCGGGAACACCAAGAATGAGAGACCCCAGGGCGACGAGCAGTTCTGTCAAAGCATGGGCGTGCGCGGGCCAGACGGGTGGAGCGGGTACCGAGGCAAAGGCCGCGGACGAGGGCTGAGGGATGTACGATTCGCTTATGACGACGACACAGTATGAATTAATAACGACAGCATGATATACTACTTTAAGGCGTCAGGAGAACCAGTTGGGGATGGATGTCGCTGGCTGGCTGGTTAGTAGGCCGATGGACCGGCTCGCGATAGTTGGGTTCTCTGGGCTGGTAGGGGTGTCGGGCGTTTTGATAGGAAACTCGGGCATCATATTCTGCAGAATCAAGTCGTTTTTCCAGGTCTGGGAGAGAGAGTGTGTGGCATGGATGGTATAGTGGCAGAGAAATAGCATCACTACGACAACATCATCTCACAGTGGACTAGATTAGACCATATCCCTCAGCCGGCCGACCGAGCCATTTTGGACCTGATCGGGTCGACTCACTACATGGGATATAGGCGAGATGCTTCTTTGAGAATTAAAGAGAGAGCAGGGAACGTGGAATTATTTAGAAATACTATGGACTCGATACTCGTGTCTCTTCGTTTGCGCCACACCCTAAAGATTTTCTGGGTTGGAAGAAGTGGAACCAGAGCAGATAGTGAGAAGCCACGGTCTCTATCAGTAGAAACAAGAGACACGGCCGATCCGGTGCCGCGAAAAACTGGCTTTTTTCGACTCTCGTTCCGCTTCGAGATCGCCTGCGTCCTACAGGGACGGACGAGCATCTTCAATTTCTCACTTCCGGTCACTCCCTTTCCCTTTCCAATATACCATGTCACTCATTCTTCCAAAAATCCATGTGATGGGTAGTGCATAGAACTAGTCAAAATCCGCAGCCCTTGCTCTTCCATCGCCACCCTTTCTGTTCGGACTCATACTCCCCGACCATCGCCTCTTCCCTTCCTTCCTTGATATTCCTCGTGCAGGTGGTGGTGATCTCGACCTAGACACTGATCGTCCGCTGACACTAGACGAGTTCCTTCTCCTGGACAGAGGTGCTCTTCGTCGTGGAGGGGTCAAGCTTCGACTCCTGCTCCTGCTCCTGCTCCTGCTAGGTGAATATCTGTTGACTTTACGCCTAGGTGGCGAGCGCGATGGCGAGCGTGATGGACTGCGAGAAGGAGCCCTTCGTGGAGCTGGTCGATGACTAAAACGTGGTGGTGTACGTGATCTAGACTTGGGTCTTGCAGCTGGAACATTGCGCCGGCGAGATGGATGCACAGCAGGACTGGCTTGGCGTGGTGGTGGTGGGGGAGAACGAGATCTCGACCGCGACGTCGAATAACTACGGGAACGCGGATTCGGGAGGCGGCGTCGAGGCGGCGAGCGAGAATCATCGGAGTGACTACTGTACGACTTTGAGCGTGTACGTGCTCGTCCACGCAGACGGCCGTTGTCTCGTTCTCTCCTTGGTGGTGGACTCGGAGAGGCCGAATAGGAGAGCGATCGTCTTGCTGTTTCCACGCGTCGTGGGGCGGAACGAGGGCGAGAGCGCGATACTGACGAAGAATAGCTTCTTGCCCGCCTGTTTGCACCGCGAGCCGGAGGTGGGGACCTCGAAAGTGACTCGGAAACACGCCGACGTTGAGTCTTCCTTGTCGACCGGTCGTCTGGTGTCAATGACCGAGACCTCCTATCTGTCCGTCGAGGTGGACTTCTTGTGGATGACCTGCTCGTCGTATAGCTCGAATAGCTCGAATATGAGCTGACGCTTTCAGAGTCCGAAATATCATCCTTCGGTGCAGGCAGGGCGGGTGGCTCTGGTTTTGGCAAATTCTTGAGATGTTCACGCATCTCCTCCGTAAGGGCCCCCATGCCGATGGAGGTGAAGTAATTGATCGCGAAACGTGTGTTACGAGGTGTATCAGTCGGGAAAAGACCTGAAAAGCAGGGCCGAAGAATATCATCCTTCATCCTCTTCTGAAGCTCAGGCATGCCCAAGGCTTCGGCCAGGTCCTGGAACAATATCTTAATGAAAATGCGGCTGCTGGAAGTAGTCTCTTCTTCATTAAGGTGCACCACAGAAAACACGTGCCAACCAATAGCATCGGTAGCCAACAGATGTCCGAAGAATCGAGCAATGTTCCGTAGGCGATTTGTCTCATATCGATGAATCGTGTCGTAGTATTTCGCAAAGGACTGTTCAAACAGGTCCGTCCAAAGCCGGTTAAGCTTCGCAAACCTCTCACCGACAAGGCCAAAGAATTTCGAGTATGTCTTCTCCTGTGAACAGCACTCGATGATCATGGACGGTAGCTCAGACTCCTGGCCTGCCGGGAGTTGGACTTTCATCAGCTTGTGACACGCTTCTTCGAAGTCAAGGCTGGACATGATGGTCAGGTAGATTGTCCTTCGCAAATTAACGAGGTCCGTATTTGTTTGGTCTTTGATTTCCATTGCACGTTCTTGTTCGGCGTCTTCATCATCCGAACTCTCCTCAGAGCCGCTATCGTCGTCGTCTTCCTCATCGCCGCTGTCTTCCCCGAGGATTTCGGCTTTCAGTTTCCTGTACGCCTCTTCATGTTCTTCCCACTCTGGATCGTACTTGAAAATATTCAACGAGTCTTGAACATCAATATCATCATCAAGGTCGACTTGGTGCGTAATTTGGTCTTCCTCCTCCACGAGATCGAGTTCCTCGCGAATTGCCGGGTTGTCCTTGTACCGATCCTTTCTGACTTGGAAAAGTACTTCTATCATGTATTGGACTCTTTTGTCAATGTCAGCTTCGTGCAATATGCTTCGAAACTGATCAAACACAGCCAATGCGATAGGAGGGCTCATCTCCTCCAGATGTTGGCCCACTTCCCGGGTCAAACCAACCGCGATTTCCACAGAATCGTCAGTCGGTTTGTGCAAAAGCAACAAAAGTAGCTGTGCAGCGAGAGTCTCGTGCGCCACTTGCTGGTTACACAGGTGGGCGATGAAAGTGGTCGAGGACAAGCAGACTGCTTTGTCATTGCGCTTGAAGGCTTTTCGAAATTGAACAACTAGCCGGTTGAGGAGCAACTCTCCGACTTGAGGGAGTTTGGTATTCACAATGGCAGCCATCGCCGCATATATCGGGGTGAAAGGTAGGGAAGCGGCCTGCGCTTTCATGATGCTCCGACAGAACAGCCCCCGACCACGGACAAGATTTTCACCAAACAGCTCCGGGACAATGTGCTTGATGTTGGAGACATTGACCTTATTAATGAGACCGTTGATGGATTTTTTCAAAGCCTCCCAAGCCATTCGCTGGTACTCTTTGCTTGACTTGTCGGTGATCTGTGACTGTAAAGCACGCAGTTTTGCAGGAGGTATATAGGTGCCGCCCGATCGCATCGTAAGGAGCTTCTCGTACTCGGCTTTGGCAGCCGCTTGTTTTTCTTCGGCAGTCAAAGGTTTTCGTCTTGCTTCATCTGGTTCCTTAGGTTTGAATTTGGCGAGTAGCTGTCTCTCGCGCTCATCCATCTCACGTTCCGGCTCCGCGCCCCTTGGATTGCGCCCATCGTTAGCTTCGACTGGCGCAGGTCGGCGGCGTCGAGGAGAGGGTGACCGAGATGGAGGTGATCTCTTTCTTGCTGCTGAGGGGCCGGGGGAATAGGAACCACCTGGAGGCGGCGTGGGAAGGCGGACAGCAGACGAGAGTAACATGGTGTCCGCCATGTTGGCAAACTCAAAGACTCCAAGCGGTGGTAAGCGGAAGCAGAATCTTCATTTCCTCTGCTGTTGCCAGTTTCGTGGATGCGAAGACATCTTGATTTAAGTCGAAGGCAGCGGCAGGCAAATAAATCGCAAGTCGATTTTCAAACACGGACTCGGAAAAACCCTTCCGGAGCGATTTCCTTTTTAAGCCATGCAGCGAAGTGACATTTTCCGACAACGCGACTGCGTGTCCATTTCAGTCCGCGTGTCAAACATTACAACAGTGATTATTCACGGCGTCTCTTGCGATACATAAGGTCTCAAGGGCATCATCCACAAGCAGGAACCAAATTGTGACGAGATGGTATTTTCTCACCCTGCGAACAGCGCGGTCAATCGAAATGCTAATGCTCCCCTGTTGTAGCTGGACAAAATTGTGGGCATGGCGATGCTCGTGGTAGCAACCACAGTCTTCTTATATTACACAATATGGACCTTGTTCATGGTACGGCACCTTGCACAGATGTGAGGCTATCAACTAAAATTTCTTGCAGCCTTTTGTGGACGACGACCATCCACTTCAGAGCCTGTTCCCACCTCGCGTCTGGGCAATCCGAATCCCTGTCATCCTCACGCTCCTTGGTTCGGCGGTCGTAGGAACGTTCCTGGCCATGGTCATGATCAGAAGCAATAGGAAGAAGGCAGCAAAGGCTAGAGCTGCTGCGGCCAAGAAGTCGAAGTGAAAGAAGAGGCTTCAAGATATGGGATCAAACACGGTGTCAACGGCGCTCAGGCGGTGAGCAGTTATGCAGGTTTCATATCCTTTGTCGACACCGAAAGTCGGGCATTGATATTCGTGGCCCGAAAGTCCTCTCTTCGACGGGATCAGCCAATTTTGAAGGAACCCAACTTCCTTTTCCGCTCAATGCAGAATCAGGTGTGATGCAGCATCGACCGGCCGATTCCGAAATTTCGCGGTGTTTGCATTCAGTCGTATGCCTGAAAAATGACGAGGAATCTTGTACCTATGAGCCGTCGATGGAGCCAATACCTTGGATAGATGGAAACCTTTCTGCGATGACTCTTTTCCCAGCCGAAAGGATGCTTGTTTATGCATGAACAAATCAGTCGACTGACAGATGATACTGCAACCTATTACAGCCCTTTGCAATCCGTACTCGGTACAGGGACCCGTCTGTGGCTTGAATGGGGAACACGAAGACTTGGGTGGGTTTGGAATGTGAGTCAGGCGCAGACATCTAACGAGCTGGAATTATCTGCCTCTGCTTCCTTGTAAGGAAGGCTGCAAATGAGGTAACCCGGAAGGACACCTGCAGACCAAATGCATGAACTTTGAGGACGACTGATCCTCTTGTCGTAATGGAGTGTAAGAGAGGCTTTCTGTGATGATGTCCTTGTCGCCGGGCCTTGGAATCCGCGAACAGCCTCGCTACTCTGGCGACTCGTGACTCGCC